ATCTGCAGGGGAACATTAAATTCAAAGAGTAATTTGCATCTGAATTGGGCTTCTACTGCCTTCTAAGCAGAGTGACCTTTGGGGTACTTGATCTTATGTGGTGAGACCCTTTCTCAAAATAAAAATGGCTGGGTTTAATTCCTAGTACCAAAATTGATAGATTAGATATAGTAAATGCTGGGGATACAGCTCAGTGGTTAAACACCTCTGGATTAAACCCAGTACCACAAAAACAACATAGATGACCATAGAAGCCAGAGGATAAGCTGAATCTTTTATTGTGGTGGTGGTACTAGAGATTGAACTTGGGCATTCTAAAACTGAAAGACAGTCCCAGGTGTTTTTTTAATTAATTTATTTTTGGATACCAGGGATTGATCCAGGGGCACTTAACCACTAAACCACACCCCCAGTCCTTTTTTTTTTTTTTTTTTGGTATCAGGGATTGAACTCAGGAGCACAACCATTGAGCCAAGTCTCCAGCCATATTTTGTAGTCCCCCTGACCCCCCAGTAGCTGGGATTACAGGTGTGCACCACCACACCCGGCTCCCAGCCCTTTTTTTAATGTATTTTGAGATTGAGCCTAAGTTGCTGAGGCTAACTTTGAACTTAAATCCTCCTACCTCAACCTCCTGAGCCACTGGGATTACAAGCATGCGCCACCATGCATAGCTTATTTTGAGATGAGGTCTTCAAGTTTCCCAGGCTGGTCTCAGCCTCCCAAGTCACAAGGATAACAGATGTGCATTACCATGTACTAACCTGAAGATTCTTGGCATTTACCAAATTGTTTTTCATTGGTGTTTCTCAGAAAAATGTTTTTACTGGGGTAGACAACTGGAAAATATGAGGTTAAACAGGTTTCCTTATATCACAGTACATTTATTTGTCTATCTGTATCCATCCATCCATCCATCCATTTATTTATTTTCTGTGGTGCTGGGTATTGAACCCAGGGCCTTGATTGCAAGGCAAGCACTTTGCCAACTGAGCTATATCCCCAGCCCTATCACAGTACATTCTAAGACTGGGTTCTCCAGGACACACCTTAGGAAAGGATGTTCTAGTTCCTATCTGGTCCTCCCTGAAATTCCCTTCTTCCCCAACTTCATTCCCTTCAGGAACAGCAAACCAAGAAATCGTCCATCATTCCGACAGATCCTGCTGCATCTGGACATTGCCTCAGCTGACGTACTCTCCACACCCCAGGAGACTTACTTTAAGTCCCAGGTGTGCTGTGGATAGGGAAATGAATATCCAAGTCCCCTTTGCAGAAATAATGATGCCCTTTGGGTGGAGTGGGGAGGCTAAGCAAAAGGGTTGGCTGGACACAATATATTAGTCCTTACAGAGGACTGGGACCCCATCTTGGTTAGTCTTGTGCCCCCCTCTTTTGCTCTGAAAACACAATTTGCAGTGGCACAGGCAACCTCTAGAGACCTCAGGTCAACTGGGTGAAGAGATGGCTCTTAACCTTCACTGTCTCTCCACCCCCAGGCAGAGTGGAGGGAAGAGGTAAAGCTGCACTTTGAGAAGATCAAGTCTGAAGGAACCTGTCTGCACCGCCTAGAAGAGGAGCTGGTAATGAGGAGGAGGGAGGAGCTCAGGTATGTGACTGAGGGGATTTTACCAGCAGCAGGAACTGGATACCACCAGCTCCCAGAGACTGAGATGCACCATAAAATCACATGAACTCAAGTTTACCATGGGGAACCCATCTGCCCATTTCAGACATGCCCTGGATATCAGGGAGCACTATGAACGGAAATTGGAGAGAGCTAACAACCTATACATGGAACTAAATGCCCTCATGTTGCAGCTGGAACTCAAGGAGCGGGAGCTGCTCAGGTAACCTTGCCCACCTTTATACACCAAGGGCCTGACCTCTGCTGAGCTGCCTTACTTGTAGACCCTACAGATCCCTCATTATTCAGATTCCCAACTGAGGAATTATCTGAATCTTTAGGCGAGAACAAGCTTTAGAGCGGAGATGCCCAGGGCTGCTAAAGCCACACCCTTCTCGGGGCCTCCTTCATGGGAACACAATGGAGAAACTCATCAAGAAGAGGAATGTGCCACAGAAACTGTCACCCCATAGCAAAAGGTAAGGCACGAGTTCATTAAGATTGAGGTTCTAAGAGTTCTGACAGGATTGATGCTGAAAAGGCTGCAGATGCTTAGAAGGGTGGAAATGCTCAGGCTTTGGGTGGGTAAATACATTAATCTCAACCTTGTATTCTCCCCTACCAGGCCAGATATCCTGAAGACAGAGTCCTTGCTACCTAAACTAGATGCAGCACTAAGTGGCGTGGGGCTTCCAGGGTGTCCTAAGGGTCCCCCCTCACCAGGACGGAGTCGCCGTGGCAAGACACGTCACCGCAAGTCCAGCGCCAAGGGCAGCTGTGGGGACCTCCCTGGGCTTCGTGCAGCTGTGCCACCCCATGAACCTGGAGGACCAGGAAGCCCAGGGGGCCTAGGAGCAGGACCCTCAGCTTGGGAGGCTTGTCCTCCTGCCCTCCGTGGGCTCCACCATGACCTTCTGCTCCGCAAGATGTCTTCTTCATCCCCAGACCTGCTGTCAGCAGCACTGGGAGCTCGGGGTCGGGGGTCCACAGGAGCTGGGGATCCTGGCTCACCACCTCCAGCCCGCGGTGACACCCCCCCAAGTGAAGGCTCAGCCCCTGGTTCCACCAGCCCTGAGTCACCTGGGGGGGCCAAAGGGGAGCCGCCTCCACCAGTAGGGCCTGGCGAAGGTGTAGGGCTGCTGGGAACTGGAAGGGAAGGGACAGCGGGCCGGGGAGGAAGCCGGGCTGGGTCCCAGCACTTGACTCCAGCTGCACTGCTCTACAGGGCTGCTGTCACTCGGAGTCAGGTAAAGTATGGGGAGATTTCTATAATTCCCCTTTCCTTGTTCTACCCTGGTTCTAGGTCTCATTGCCCATTCTGAGCTCTCAATCTTAGGCGACTCCCTATATAATCTTTTGTAACTAAATTCCCTTATCCTGGATTCAAGACTTTTTCCCTTTTCTGATCACAGTCCCTCATTTCTCCCACACAGAAACGAGGAATCTCTTCAGAAGAGGAAGAAGGAGAAGTAGACAGTGAAGTAGAGCTGACATCAAGCCAGAGGTGAGCGATAATCATGTGGCAAAGGCCTATGTGTTTCAGGGCTGCAAAGGGCAGAACAAGTCTTTAACACCCACCCTTTTAACATTTTAGGTGGCCTCAGGGCATGAATATGCGCCAGTCACTATCTACCTTCAGCTCAGAGAATCCATCAGATGGGGAGGAGGGCACAGCTAGTGAGCCTTCCCCCAGTGGCACACCTGAAGTTGGCAGCACCAACACTGATGAACGGCCAGATGAACGGTCTGACGACATGTGTTCCCAGGGTTCAGAAATCCCACTGGACCCACCTGCCTCAGAGGCTGTTCCTGACCCTTCCTCCCAGCCCATACCACATCAGGACCTACTCAGAGGTGAGCAGGTAAGTTAAGAACAGAACCTACCAGATATCAGACAAGAACCAGGAGCCTGATTTTTGACAGCTTCCGGTGATATATGTACAGGCCAGAAAGATAGGTATTTAGACTCCATCAGTTTCTGAGCCAGTTTCTTCCCCTCCCAAAAGCAAACATTCATATGGTAAGTGAGGCCTATGATACAGAGCCTGTATAATATGGTGTCTGTGACAACTCATGTGGCCACTATTAACTGCAGCCAGGGAAGGATCCTGAAAATAGCAGTCTGGTGCCTTGCAGAATGACCTGAGCAACTAAAACCTGGAAGCAATAAAATCAGTAAGCCACTGGCTATTAGATTCTGCCCTTACTGGGATCATTATAATGCCAAGAGCTGTTCCACCTCACTGCATTTCTACTCTTCCTCACAGGGCCCTCCTAATTCTGAGGACTCAGACTGTGACAGCACTGAATTGGACAACTCCAACAGCGTTGATGCCTTGCGGCCCCCATCCTCACTCCCTCCATGAAAGCCACTCTAATTCCCTGTATATAGAGAAATATTTATATAAATAATATATATGCGCCACATAATCAGAGGAAGATGGGGCTGTCCCAAGCTTAAGTCAGGCTTGTGGGGAACTGACCCCCTGATAAAAGTCAAGGGATACAGGCAGCTGTGGAGATGAATGACAAGTACCGCCCTAGAGCTGTGTGGAAACTGGCCCCTTCTTGCTTCACCCCATTCCTTATGTTCAGCAAGCAATGCTTGTCACTAGGATCTTTACCCCCAACATTGGGAGGCAGAAGGAACCATGTAGACTGCACTTTTCTGTTTTCCGTTTACTCTGTTTACACATTTTGCACTTGGGAGGAGGGAGACTAAGGCTGGGTCCTCCCTTCTGAGGTTTCTCAGGTGGCAATGTAACTCGTTTCTTTGTCCCTCCCTTTCTCTGCCAACCCCTGGCTTAGGGCCCAGGGTGAGGTTGAGAGACTTGATAGCATGTGATGATGGCTCAGGCTGAAGAACTGGGGTGCTGTTTAAGTCCCTGCTTTTATCCTGGTGCCTGATTGGGGTGGGGACTGTCAATATTGTATCCCTGTGAAAAACCTTGAAATATAACCACTCCATGCAGGCCCAGCTGTTGAGGGTTTTTCTTGATGAATGAATGGGATATCAAACCTGGTGAGGTTAACTATCTTTTCTCACTAAATGATCACGTTAAACTTTGTACAATTACTGGCACAAATAGCAACAGGTACAATCTTCTAAGTGATTTTATGACAAAAACAGAAGTAGCTCTTCTTATTGGCCAGGAACGGTGGCACACACCTATAATCCCAGCAACTCAGGAGGTTAAGGCAGGAACATTGTAAATTCAAGGCCAGCCTGGGCAATTTTGCAAGGCCCTGTCTCAAAAAAAGTAACTGGAATGTAGCTCCGTAGTAAAGACCCCTTCAGTTCAAACTCCAGTCCCCCCAAACAAAAAAAAGGAAAAACCTCATTAAGGAAAAAGGACTATAAATGAACACTTACTAAAAACAAGAGACTTAAGTTTTCATTTAAAATATGCAAGCTTGAACAAGGACAAATATTCCCATGAAGGTGAATCCCAGATACAGGTCAACTGCTTCCATGTATATTCATGTGTGCACCATCCAACCATGGAACTGCACACCTATTCTACAGTTAGGTCCTAGCAAAGTCTGATCCTCAAACTGGGCATAAGGTTTCACAAGGGGCAACTAAATACAGGGTTGTAGGAATAAAGGATCGAGGGTGAATAAAAAACATGGGAGTGGTGAACAGGAGAAAATATCTTAATTACAATAAAGGCTTCTATTCAAAACCCAATCAGGGTCCTGTAAGGAATAAAAGGTACAAAAATAACAGGAAGACAACAGGAATAAAACCCACATGAATCACTGTGGCATCCAGTTTCTATTCACAAAGAAAAAGCTCCAGTCCATCTTTTAATTTTTTTGAAAAATTCCTGACATTACAGAACTAAACTGAAATGTATTAATAGTCCACTCTTACATTTCCATGACAAACAGAAAAATTCATGAGCCAAAAAAAACAAAAAACAAAAAAAAAGGGAGAAGCTTATAAAACTAAATATGGATCTCAGCATTAACAGCTGAACAGAGAAAGGAATTAAAACGCTTTAATTAAAAAATCACGAGTGGATGATAAAGTGTGTAGAAACTGAAAATTTACAAACTATTTAAAACCTGGAATCGCTGACTGTTCAGAAACTACACAGATGGATCATGGGTGGTGGTGAACAGCAGAAAGGGATTATGGATGAATCTGCATTGTTCTAGCTGCTCCCCATGCCACCCGTCTCCGAGGAAAGCCTGTAACATAGAAACAAAACAAGAACTCAAAGTTAGTTTTCCCAGTGCCCAGTTGCACCTCGCCTCTAGAATGTTCAGCCTGGCTGACTGAGGAGGAAGGGGAAGGTAATCACACTTCAGTTTCTTGGATTAACCAGAACCATAATACTTTTTTTTTAAGGTGGGGTGGGGATATACAGGGGCTTGAACCCAGAGGTTCTAAACACTGAGCTACATCTGAGTCCTTTTTAAATTAAGACAGCCTCAGTAAATTGCTTGGGACCCACTAAACTGCCCAGGCTGGCCTCAATCTTGTGATCTTCCTGTCTTAGCTTCCTGAGTTGGGGGATTACGGGCGTGCACCACCATGCCCAGCCCATGACCTTTTTTAATGGACTTTCAATCTAAGCTTCCTCAGGCAAACTACCTCAGAACAGAAACAATGTTGGTGTAGTTCCTCAAGCTATGCCCTCTAGAACTTCTAGATTTTCTGAAGATATGCTCCTCCACAAAGATTGTTCTTGGAGGACATGGATACACAGAAGTAATGTTTCTTTATTGCTCATATTTACCTCCTCCCAAACTGCTAAGTAAAATATAGCCATTTGGGAAACAAACATTATCTGAAAGTAGCCTCATTAGGTTATTGCTTAGACACATAGCTTACACTATGAACAGAACTAAATATGTAAGAATTAGTGATCTTAACTCTCAAAAATAATTTCATAAAAGGTTCTAAATTGACTAGCATGACCTACTGGTAGTGTCTGGTCAAGAAAGTTTGCAAACTCACATCTATAACCCTTCTACAACAAGGCATAGCCAAAAGTAGCCAGAAGGAAAAACCAAAGGTCAGGAAATTAGAGAGTCCTTCAACTACAAACTATTTTTAAAATCAGAAATTATCTCTTCACCTCATCAAGAATAATATGTAATTCTTGAAAAGATCTAGGGAAAGGTCAACAATAAGCCCTGAATAAAAGGGTTTTATGGGAACCAAAGGCCCACAGTTTAAATCTAGGACCATTTAAAAAAAAAAAAAGTTGTAGCACTCTGGCCCTACAGTGATCAAAAAGAATTGTCCAGTACTTACACCAAACCTAAGCAGGACTCTGCAGGGATGGGGATGTAGGAGACAGGGACAGGAAAAAATTGAACAGGAAATACACAGCGGGCTGGGGATGTAGCTCAGTGGTAGGGTGTTGCCTAGCATGCAGGCAGTGTGGGGCTCTGGGTTCAATCTTCAGCACTGCAAAGAATATATTAAGATCTGGAACCACATGGGGGAGCTCTAAGCTTTTAAAAAATTTAACACCCAGTATCTTTAGAGGCCCCTTAATTGAACTGGTGCTCAGAAATCTTAAGAAAATTCATTAGGTTAAATGGCCTTCCTATTTAAAACAACAAAAAAAGACCAAGCCCTCATGATATAAGTATGCTAATTCCCTAACTATAGAGGAAGGGCAACTAACACAAAAACTTCTTCCTGGACAATTAAGCACAAGTTTGTCCCTCCAAACCTTCATCATGCTGATATGGGCATATAATGCTAATTCATATTCCCAATCTGGGATAACATCAGAGGAAAATACTGGAATACTTGTGAACAGCTAGGTTTCTTGTCTCTTTTAAGCAATGTCAACCAAAGGTAATGTAGAAAATGGTTATCAAGGAGAAATCTCTCATCATCAAGTTCTTTTCTCTAATGCTCTGGGTAAGAACATTATATATTCAAAACCCTGGCAATATGTAGAACATTGGAAGCCTTCTGCCTTTACATTTAGAGTTCTGTTTTTTGTTTGTGTAGAGCTGGGAATTGAACCTAGGGCCTAGCACATGCCAAGCTAGCATTCTAACACTGAGCTACCTGCAGCCCATCATTTCAGACTTGTGTGCATCCTGGAATAAGGAAATGAAAAAGCAACTAGGAATGCAGCTCAGTGATAGAATACATCCCCTGTGTTCAAATCCAAGCTCCAAAAAACAATGAGTTAACCTCAGGGAAGTACACTGAGTAAAGGTCAGGCACAAATCTAAATGCTCAGGGACTTTCTTTTTCCCGTTATTTGAGAGTACTAATGAGTTACAAATTAGTTGATCCCCAAGGGTGCTTCAAATTTAAGCTTATAATTTCCTACTTATCATAGTGTTGGGGATAGGGAAGGGCAGGCAGAGACCAGAAGGTACAGGAACTTAGATCACTAACTGAAGTTGGTTTAGGATTAGTCAGCATCCTATTCAAGTTCTAGACAATGTCATAGATTGGTTATTCAAGATCTTTCAAATGTCACAGGAAGAAGGGTAATGCTCATTCACAGGAACTAGATAGTAGCTGCCTGCCTTTGATTTACTCCACCTTGTCCCACCATTCTGCGTGAAGAAGTTAAGTGATTTGTATATATATGCCTTGGAAGAGATCTTCACTACCTCAGACACCCTTGTTACCTGCTGTTGGCAAGGTATGGGATATGAAACTCTTCTTCACTAATGAAGATCCTTGCTAATTATGAAGAACCCTCAGCACCTAAAATGCCACAAGCCCTTTCCTCTTTGTGGCAATATTGTCAAAGATTTATATAATTAACCTGGGACACAAAAGTCCAATGCAGTTGTAGAGACTTCCTAGTGGATTAGCCACAGGTCACAAGTTCCCACCCCTTTACACGTCACAGCACACGGTGAACTAAGGTTGTTACTGTGGCAACTTTATTACAGCTAGAAACACAAATTTGGCCAAAGGCCTGCTGATAGCTTAACCATTTAATAATTAAAAAAGGGTGGGGGGGTAACGGAGAAGCCTTTATTCATTAACACAGAGCCTAACACATTATTATATTGCAAGGCAGAATAAAGCTACAAAAAAGGTAACAGAATGAGAAAGAGCAAAAACTATGGCTCTAGATAAAGAATTCAACAAGTCAGACTCTGAAACAGGCACTCAGCTGAAATGGCCTAAACCTAAACAAGAGTTATCATTGCCCCCACCCCCACCCAGATATACCCCAAAGTAGTAAAAGGAAAACGGTCACAAGCTCACAATAATTTGGTTCTCACCAGTGTTAACAAAATAAAACAAAATGAACCAATACACACTTGAGGGAGGTACCTCAAGATATGCACTCAGTAGGGGGAGAACCTCTGTTTCTCCCCTTTCAGTTTGTTAGTTACACATGGCACTGCAGAGGTGGTGGTGGTGGCAGCTGAAGCCCCGGTACCCTTAGCAGCAGACACAACATTTAGAGCCAGGAGAGGGATGGGTTTCATGCCAAGCAGACTGGAGACACAAGGGGCGGTCGGAAGAGGGTTGGGGAGGCTGGAGGGTGCGTCGGAGGTCCCCGCTGTGGCGAGCGAGGGGGTGGTGGTGGAGGAGGAAGAAGAAGAAGAAGGGGTGGAGGGTTGAGAGAGGTTGATGCTGAGGTGATCAGGGATCGTGACGGAGGCTGCCTGGGAGGAGGGTTTAGCGTTTTCTAAACTGTAACAGAGGAAAAAAGGAACAAAAAAAAAGGGTGGGTGGAAGGGAAGACCACAAAAGGGAAAAAGTACAGGACAAAAACCGCTTCAGTTATATCAGTAAGTGTCTTTGGTTGCCAATTAGGAAGATTTACATCAATTTCTGACAAACTGTATTTTAGCCTGTGTCCCACCCTCTAAATATGTACACTTTGCCATTTTCTATTCCACAATGCTATTTAAAACTGCTTTGGTGAAGAAAAAACTAACAAACTAAAAAAGGAATCATACAAGGCACATATTTCCAAATATCCTTTATCCAAATAACAGGAAAGAAATACTTTCAGGTAGAAAATGAAAAAGTATTCAACCTCCAAACAAGAAGGAATGTTTCAAATACAAATCAAATGTTAATTTCCCCTTCCAAAGGAAAATTACCCAACAATTGCTTATAAAGCTGAATGTTACACAGAATTCTCTAAATTGTATGTATGTGTAGTCTGTTTACATCTCCACAAAAAACTCGTGTTTAAGATGGAAAGGGACAAGAATCCAAAATAGGTCACTAATTTCAAACTTTAAGAAATGTAGCATTTTCAAGGAAAATGCTAAGAACTGAAGTATAGATAAGAACTGGGGAAGCTTTTCTAGTGGGAGGTGGTAGAGTATCAAAAGGCTCTTTGTTTTGACTGACCACACATCTAATGTAGACTTTACAGAAAGAAACTCACTCCCCAAACACTCAGGTTTTAAAAAAAAGCAAAAATAATGCTGTTTTTACAGCAAGTTAACAGTAAACATCTACATCTCCCAAATGCCTACATGTGTTTAAAAGCCAAAACTACAGGTTATTAGCTGAAGTTTATCCAGAAAATCTACCCTCCAAAAATAACTTGAGGAGCAGGGAGGTTCCTTTTAAAGATTCTATTTTATTTACCTTTGTTCACTGTCAGCTTCAATCCATAAAGGATGATGACAGAGTAATCAACTAACTACAGAAAGTACTGAATGTCACCATGAAAACCAAAAGAGGCAAAGCAGAAATACTCAGAATTCACTAATGAAAGTAGAAAAATTCTTCCTAAAATAAAACATTCCCAAATAATCAAACAGTTGATTTTTGCATTCAAATTGGCCAAGATGAGAAAGTGAACAGCAAGTACTGTGCATGCACAATCCTTGCTTTAGTAGTAAATGAGGCTTAATCCCAGTGGCTCAGGAGGCTAGGCAAGAGAACTTTTTTTAGTTCTAAGCCAGCCTTCAGCAACTTAGGGAAGCCCTAAATAACACTGTAAAACTCTGACTCAAAATAAAACACAAAAAGGGGTGGGGATATGGCTCAGGGGTTAAGTGCCCTGGGTTCAATCCCTGGTACCAAAAATAAAAAATAAAAAATCCATACACTGTAGCCACTGACCTACTACACTACTACAGGGGCCAAGCAAACAGGCCACATTGAAAAATAGTCATAATCGAAACTCTCTTGACAGGATAATCCTACCAAAAACCCAAGAAAAAATTTTCCAGATTCTAATAACATGATTTTTGCCACTTGAAACTCCCCTCAAATACCTACTTAGAACAAGAAAATGAATCTTTGCCAACAGTCTCAGTGTCTAGTTTTCTACCGCTTTGACTATTAAAGACTTGATGTGCTTGGCAGCTGAAGAAACAAACATCTAGATATAGGAAAGTGTTTTCTATGTAAAAATTAATAGTGCCTCAAAGAAAACTTAAGGGAAATGTCAAGACCACTACTAGGGAACTTAAGACATCTCTGATCAGGGATAGAAGACCATGGTATAAAGACTGGTCTATACAACGACAAGAATACAGACTTCGTACTTATGAAAGCCTTTCCCATGTACCACATTTAAGAACTCATAAAACTTTCATGCTACAGAGGCCAAATAGGTAGGAGATAAGTACATAATAACTGGATAACACTCCCCATAAAAAGGATCCCTAAGCCCTTGGGAAATGTACTAATACAATGGCTTTAAAATGTTTGTCTGCAAGCAATTAACAATGGGACCTTAGCACATGAGCTAAAAACTATTTCCTAAGGGAAAGTTTTTTAGACTATTAACAGCTACCCTACAACTGTATGTAGTAACATTACCTTGGTACGGGATAAGCAAAAAAAAAAAAAAAAAACAAAACAAAACCTCAGGTGGTCATTAAAGAATGAGAATGAGACAGGAAATACTCCTGGCATTTCTGCAACATTCCCAAATAATCAAACACTTATAATCTGAGAAAAAAAGGATTTTTTAAAAACAAGTGAAGGGATGGGGTAGTGGCTCAATGGTAGAACACTTGCCTAGCATGTGTGCAGCACTGGGTTCAATTCTCAGCACCATATATAAATAAAGGTTCATCCACAACTATATTTAAAAAAAAAAAAAAGAAGAAATGGGGGCTGGGGATGTGGCTCAAGCAGTAGCGCGCTCGCCTGGCATGCGTGAGGCCTGGGTTTGATCCTCAGCACCACATACAAAGATGTTGTGACCGCCAATAATTAAAAAATAAATATTAAAATTCTCTCACTCTCTCTTAAAAAAAAAAAGAAAAAATGGTAATGGCTGCCTCTAAGAGAATGCTTTGATGTGCATTTCTCCATTATTATTTAAGGGTGCTTTTTAAATTCAATTAAAGATGCTCTGGATGTCAAGAAATATTGGTCTATGTGACATGAATAAAACAAGAAACGTGGTTTTTTTGGGGGTTTTGTCAGTATGGCTGATCTTGACAGAGCACTGTCCTACTAGAAGCCATACACACTCTCTTCCAACTCCAAAGTCATCAAAAGTTAAATGCAACCAATCTATGTCACCCCATGCAAAGTTACTGGAATGATTTTTTTTAATCTAATGATGAAAGAAAGCAGGGCTATATTTTTTAAAAAATTATTTTTGCCATCTCTACCCATCCCCAAGTAGTCCTATAATAGTAAAGTATTACAATGTTCCCCAACATACCCCTACTATGTTGGAATTAAGGTAAAAGGTAGGGCAATCTTACCTGACGTTGATTAGATACTGAGCCAGGCTAATGCTGGCAGCAGATCCAGTGATGGTAACCTGCCTATCGGTAGATCCTTCCACTGGGTTCGCAATTTTGATCTGCGCCCCAGACATCTGACGGATCTCATTGATTTTGGCGCCTTGACGCCCGATTATGCAGCCAATCAACTTAAAAGAAAAAAAGACAACAAATAAAAGACTTGTATGGCCAGGTCCAAGAATTCTATACTGTCTCTTCTACAACTTGGATCTAAGAACTAAGTAATGGAAACTATTATCCACAATCTACACTCTTTCTCATATATTCTTTAAAAACAAAAAAAAAAATTATTTTTATTGATCCCATTTCAATTCCTGACCCAACTTTCGTCTTACCACTATGGGTCACAGTTATCTGCAAACAAACTGCTACTCCAAACACCAGCTCTTCATTATTCCTTTCCTCAGAGTATTAACTCCGAAGAAAAAACAGATCAGAAATAAGATGTTACTAAAACCTAGTCAGATGGCTAGGAATCAATAAAGGCATCTTCAGTTCTGGGTAGCAATGATGCTTAAAATTCATTTGCCATGAGGGGCTGGGGTTGTAGCTTGGTGGTAGAGCATTTGCCTAGCATGTGTGAGGTACTGGGTTCAACCCTCAGCACTAAATAAATAAAATAAAATAAAATTACTGTTTCCATCTACAACTAAAAATATTTCTTTTTTTTAAAAATCATCTGCCATGGATACCGTCTTACTACAATGATAAAAATTCTAGATAATTTTGAAAGCTTTTCTCTTAGGAAAAGAAAAAATAATTACCTACATTTGAACAGTCCAATACTATAAACAGTAATGAGACAATAATTTGTTCTTACTGAACATCTGAACTGTGGCTAATCAAACTGAGAAATTGAATTTAAAATATTTTATTTTTCTCAACCTAAATAGCCACAGTGTCTGTAGCTACCATGTTAGAAAGCACAGATTTAACATTCAAGATCATTTCACCCAATGCTTTAAGGATAAAAATTCTACAAGATTCTACGAGAGACAAAGGGAAATGGAATTTCTACCTGGGGGGGGGGGGAATGTTCATTCTGCCTCACAATAAGTTTTCCACGTCAATAAATTTTTTCTAGGATTGTTTGTACCCCGAATTTTCTTTAGTTTAAAAAAACTTAATTTGTGGGCTACGCATGTAGCTTAGTGGTAGAGTGCTTGCTTACAAGTATGGGCACTTATATTCTTGGAAACCAATGCCTAGTACACTTACATCGTTTGGAATGGTGAGTTCATGAGAAGTAGTCTGAGCAGATGCATCCAAACCTGCTAAAAGACAGAAGAGAGCAAGAAAGTTCAATGCACAGCATTCAAAACCACACTGAACTGCACATTAAACTAACAGAAAGAAATTAAACTGGAAACCCAGCATTGGCTGTTGGGATTCATCACTAACTTGGAAGCCTCCAAGGAGGAAAGAGGGGGAGAGGGATGTAGAAATAATGCTGGAAAGGTTCTTCTGTACACTCAGAAGAGCTGATTTCATGCCATTTCCTGCAAAGCCCCGCCTATTGGGGTAGGGGGATGGAAGCAAGGGGCAAGGGAGCATGGTATCCTCAAACAGGACAAAATCTGAACCGAAATCTAAACATCAAGTCCTTCACTTCTTCCCCTTTTCTGGTTAGAATTTCCTGCTGTTGTGTTCCAATTTTATCTCACAAAATGCTCACTAACACCAATGCCAATATCATGCCTATTATTTGGTACCATGGACTTTTGGCACACATGCAGAGTTGACTTAAATATACCCATGTCAGATTAACACCCTATGCCTTTATCCTCCTAAACTAAACTTTAAGGTCAGGTACAATGAAATGGCAGTCATGTGAGGGGTATTCATTTCTCCAGATTAATCCCTGTCTTTTGCTCAATTTGCTCTGGCTATTGTTTGGTTTTCCAATGAAAAAAGGAAAAAAACAAAAACCCATACCCATCAATAATGACACCTGGACTGGGCCAGGTCAACTGGCTAATCTTCACAATCCTAGTCTTGCTCAATTGCATTTTTAAAAGGGGGTTGGCCAGATCCATCAAGGGACCCTGAGGGGCACCAGGCCCACCCCCTTTGCTCTCTCAGCTTCCTCTCTGCCATGTGCATGTTGCTGATATGGTTCATGGGCAGTGAAACAAGACTCCCACCAGTTTATTATTAATATAACAGTAGAATACTACAGATTTTTTTTTTTAATCATTACCCCAATAGCCTTTCACCTCTGGAGAGCTGGATTCAATGCCTGTTAAGATACAAGTGAAAATGAGTTTGGTGGTCTCATCCTAACCCTATCGGACAAGTTATTCCTTATACAGAAAAAAAAAAAGCCCAAAAAACAAAATAAAAACAAAAACAGAAATTAAAAAAAAAAAAACAAAAAAAAAAACACTACACAATTTGGCACAAATGGATTGTTTCTACCCAAGTCTGAATAGCTGGTGGAGAGAAAGGGGATGCTGATCAGATCAAGGGGGCAACAGTCAGAATGGTTCTAAGAAATATCATCCTACCCTTTGCCTGACAAGCATCCCCAAACCTCACCCCCAAACCTTCTAGGACCTTTATTTTTCTTTTCAAATAACTCACCCCAAATGAAAACCAAGTTAACAAACACATTACCTCCTTGGGTTTAGCCATAGTAGGCCAAGTTTAAACCAGCAGGATGCTGGGTAATGAAGTTTTAAACAGATGTCAAGCTGAGACCTTGGGACTGGTCTCTGTCTTGCACTACACCTTACAGAAATAAATACTGAGGTTTCCATACCACTGAATCCGGTGTTGCCATGCGTCATAGGAAAATGAGACTGTTGCATTGCCAACTGGTGCAGCTTGGTCAACTGCAGGAAGCAAACAAGAGAGGCTGGCATTAGAAAAGTAACACAGTCAAGGCTCAAACACACTCACATGTTAAAATGTAGAGTTCCTGAATCCCCCAAGTTGACTCTACTACTCCAAATACAACACAGGGGAATGACTGGGCTTCTAAATACAATCCAGGGAATGGGCAGAATATGAAAGGAAAGGAAAAGAAATACAGAGGGTATCAGTATAAGAGAATGAATGCATTTTGGGTACATGAAAAGAAAAGCAACAGTTACCCGCCCAATAACCATCCCTTTGTGGGCTACTTAATGAAGGTGTTTGCAGCCATTGCAACAGTTGCCCCAGGGACAAGCACAGACAGGCTAGGTAAACAAACTGTGCAGTGGTGCTAGGGAAAACACACCATGCAGGGTTCCACCAGTACTGGGAAAAGGGAAGGAAATGATGGGGGCAGGGAGACTGCAAGGAGAGGGCTTTGAGAAGAAACCAAACTGTGTTTAATCCCCACCACCAACAACTTCTACAGCTGTTTTTGTTGTTGTTGTTTTAAAATCTCAATTAAACCACCCTAGCTCATGTAAAGTAATCCCACTTCAAGTCTAATTCCCTCTCCTAAGTCCTGCCACTAACCAAGAACCAAACTCGACTATCCAAGTCTAATGCTCAGCACCTGAAAAGGTTAGTAAGGATAAAGGAAGAGTGCAGAAGAAAACACCCTTAAACAAAGTCTAAATATTAGCACTTCAAAACAGGTTTTGTTTTTTGTTTTTTTTAGTGGCAAGGAAAGTTTTGAGTTGAATTCCCACATGTTCAGCTTCCTATCCTTCCCTGTGTTTAAGTCCTTCCACCCTCCCCCATATATGTTTTAAGTTGTCACCTCAGAAGAAGGAGTACCCAACAGCAAACCTTCCTCCCACTCCTCCCATGGAAAGGAGAATGTTATTCAAGGAAGCACAGTCCACTATCAATTTAAATAAAAATGACAGTATAGCATGGAACATTTCACTTTTAGAGTAATCTGAAACACAGGGGAAAGAAGCTAATGACCTATTGAAATATAATTTCCAGGGGTTAAATGTCAAAAGGCAAACAAGGTTCTATATGTCCTGGTTATAATTTTTTAAGAGCCAAAATGTGGTTCACTCTGTGAGGGTAACAATACTATAAATGTTTAAAAACCCAACTCACTTCGGGATACTTGGGAGGAAGGAGTCACAGACAATATTGGATGGGAGAAGGAGCTTTTCAGAAAAAGAAGTGAAAACAAAACTTACATCTGGCTGTGGAATGGCATACTGTCCTTGAATGGTATAGGCCTACAAAAGGAGGAAAACAATTCCTATTAAAAACCAATCACGGACAGCCACCCAGTTCGGGGAATGGGGCAACAGATTTCAACTAGCTGGAAGTCAGAACTGAACTAGACAAAGGGGAGGTGAGGCACCGAGGCAATAGATGGAGTCTCACAAATATAGTCAGACCTGAGCTGGCCTTCTTTGAACCCTATATATATTTCAGGGATCCTATGGAAGCAGCCAAGTTCTCTGTAATTAAGGCAAAATATACATATTTGTTTTTTAGTAACTTTGTTTATTTTTTATGTGGTGCTGAGGATTGAACCCAAGGCCTCACATGTACGAGGCAAGTGTTCTACCACTGACCCACAACCCCAGCCCGCTTATCTGCTTTAATGAAAAAGTGGAAGTGCAATTAAGCACTGCCTCGACTGACCAAGCCCCTGCTTCTTCCCTGTACACAAGACAGTCTAGAAGGAAAATGGTGTCTTCCAACCAGTACCATCCCAGTCCTCTACCAATTGTGGTGCCATGAATGATTTATACCTAAACAAAACTACATGACATGTTTTCAAACATTTCCCTAACTTGTTTTTCTCTACATCTACCTAAAAACCTTAAGCTGGGTCACTAACACTATACAGTTGAAGAGAGAACACAAAAATCGCTGTATTCTAAGTCCTACCTTTTCCCACCTCCCCTCCATAAAAGACACTTGCAGCTCCCACTACACCCTCCTCCCACCACACAATAACTTCCCAAAAGGGAGCTGGGTCTTGGGGCAAAGGGGGTAGGAGGCAAGGAGGAATAGGGAGGGAGGGAAGGAAGAAATGGCTTGTTAACAGGATGTGAAGCTTCTCACATCACTGTGGCTAGTATCCCCAAAAGTGCACCCAGGTAGGGGTGGGAGAAAGGTGAAAATGGGGCGGGAGGAATAGGAGAGGGAGAAAAGGGGTTGAACCAAAAATAAAAAAATAAAAAATAAAAAAAAAAAAAAAGAAGAGTTGGTGTTACCATCTGGTGGGCTACGCGGCCTGTGTGAAATGAGGTGGGGGGGTCAAGTCCAGGTCCCCGTGGACAGGTGGTGTCCACAGCACAAAAATCACCAGCGCCATTGGCCCCCCGTGTGTTGGCAGTCTCGGCTGAGGCGGAAGGATTGAGTGAGCCTTGGAGACTGAACATCCCCTCTCACCTCTAGAGGTGGTCCCTCCAGGTCAGGGTTGAGGCACATGGACGGGGTGGTGTGGGGAAAGCTCGCACTGTCGCTGCCTGTGCTGTACCTGTCCTGTGGATAAATAGAGGATTTCAGTCTCCAGGGCTGTCAATCCGGCACCTTGTCACCAGCATGAAATTCACACAAAAAAAAGTTGTTTATTTTTTTCATTTTTCCTTTAAAAGGGAGCTCACGGCACAAATTTGAAACGAGCTGTAATCAGTGAATTAAAAAAAATGTTACCTAGTGGCAGATTTCACAATGCACAATTGGGCTACTTTGAATAATGAAGGGGTGGGACAACAGAGCTGATAACAGCTCCTGGTCAATATGGGATTAAAATGAACCCCTACAGAGCCCACTTTGCCACAAAGGAACAAAAGACAGGTCCATCTGTGGACACTGTTATGAACTGGTCCATTTTAAAAAGGCCCATGGGAATGACCCACGAAAGGGCAACTCATTGAAAGAAGCTGCAAGCTGTTTAGAGGGTAGTCAACTGAATAAGGGGAAGGGAGGGGAAAAGGGAGGAAGGAAGAGGAGGAAAGCCAAGAGGTATGAAGGGGGTAAGAGGGACAGGAGAGAAGGGAAAAAAAGGGTAGTTTTGAGAGGATTGCTGCCACACAGCATAGGACCCCCTTATAATTCCAAATGGGAGTGGGAGAATCCAGAAGAACAGGAACCTGGAGCTCTAAGGAGAACGGAAAACCCTTAAGGCTAACCCTCCTGTCTCAATACTGACTGAGCCTGCCTTTGCTTATCCTGCCCAACAATCCAGACTAACAGCCCTTTGACTAATCCAGTTTATACAATAGCAGTGCTAAAGGTACTCAAGATTATACTGTGACATGATTAACTTCTTGTGAAAGTTCTTAGAACTATATAACAAACTGAGCCCCTGAAACTTGTTTGATTTCATGCCACTTCAGTATAGTTATCAATGTGATGAACTCCAAGCCTACACTCTCCCTTCAAATGACTTCCAAATCAAATACAGGTAAGATGCTTATTAACAGGCCAGACCCAAGTGGGGATAGGCATATTTTGCTTACACAGCTACCAAAACGAACACCACTATTTCAATCTTAATCCCAGTATTTTAAAAACTGGCCTAGCAATTTCTTAAATACTAACAAACGCATAAAACTACCATGGTGCTTTATCAATGCTCTCGTCATACACATCTAACTTTAGAATAAACCATGTGTAAAAGATGAAGAATTTAGATTGGTAAGGAAGGAGTAGAGAGAGGCCCAAAGGGTGCTTTGGTGTTCTTGCTCTAACACCAAAGGTCACAGCACCACAGCCCAACATGCTCTCCCCCTCCTATTCTTGTAGGCTGAACTCTTACCCCAGCCGATTTCAATTATGCCATGTGGTTCAAACCAGTATTTATGAGGTTAAGAGTCTGGGATATTGACAATACACTGGAGTTTGGAGGTGAAGGGGTAGGAGCAGGGGAGGTGAGGTGGAGGGAAGGGGAAGTTTGTAGGACACTCAAGTTCAGAATTCCCCAATTTTGAGACCAGCATCCAGAACTCTCCTTCAGAGGTCCGATTCTTTTCTACCTTTACTCAGACCTCTAAAGATCACCCCACACATACAAAAGCATGGATGGGGTGGGAAAGAGAGAAGTAGTGACACAGAGGCAATTTAACTCTCCTAACCCATCCCACATTAAATTACAAAATAAATTACCTCTTCCGAGTGCCTACAAAACTTCCTTTGCCTGTTAAAAATTAAATACGGGCTTGGCATTCAAGGCTTTTTCCCAGTACAAAAATAAAACTAAAAGCAAGTCAAACTATGGCCAGAGTAATCGGCAAGCATGCAGAGTGGCTTGGTGTGCTGCTGGCGTAGTTGACATTTCAAATATTATGTTAATTCTAGCCAATCAATAACAACTGTCTTACCTGACCACCTGCAAAGATGACTGGAGAACTTGACGGCTTGGGCCGGTACGGGATGGTCACGCCCTTCGGGGGGGACTGGGAGAGAGTCAGAGGGGAAAAAAACAAAAAGAGATAAGGTTTCAAAGCTGCTTCAGCTGTGTGGCTTTAGCACACACAGTTCAGTTAAAAACTATTATTTCCATCCCCTTACCTACAGCAAGTTATCATTAGGTAGATCTAATCTCAAATCTGCAATTATTTGTCTTAAAGCAGTAAGATAGTCATGGACTACTCCCAGCTCACATTAATCATTAAAGAAGATATCCCTAAAAATAATTTTATGCACTATTTCCATGTATTTAATGACACACACAAAAAAACTCTGCATACATTTTAGCTATTAATTTTTAGGATTTCATATTTTAATCTGAAGAGAAAATAAAGCCAAGTTTGAAATAAAGTACCCAAAAGATGAGATTAGGATAATATAGAAGTATCTGCACTGCACACTATTCAGAATTCCAATTAAAATTTTAACTCCACTTGGAAATCACACTTTCTGATAAAGTATGGGACAAATTACATATAACTTAAAAAAAGGTTTAATTACCCCATAATTTTCCTCTTTAATAGAATACTAGTGTATTAGCCAGACATATAAGTCATTCAAATACTACCACAAATTCACCATTCTGTTCTATATTCACTATCCTTTAGAATATATCCTGCTTGAAAGCCAGAAATTAAAGAATGTGCTCAAGTTCCATGTTAACAAAGTATAGCATTCCAAAAGGTAATTTAGCTTCTCAGGAACTCAAATGAATATTTGGTCCACTCAGTTCACATAGTGAATCTTCCCATCTACCCTTGTAAACTGTGCTAAAACTGTCCTAAACCAAAAGATCACTGCCAGTTAGCAGGTTCTATTTTTGTTCACAGACCATAGGAAAAGTCAAAAGCTGGGGGAAGGAAAATATGAACTCAGGGAACCTTTGTACCCACCCCCATTGAAGGCTACTAACAGCTTCACCTAATTCCAGTGTTACTAAATATAGATCAGTTCCTGTCCCCAGAATTGCCCTTCCCCCACTCTCAGCATGAGCCTGAGGGCTTACCTCCAACATGACCACGCAGATCTGTTTGACACACTCAATGATGGATTGCGGAATGCCAGCAATAGTGATGGCCCGCTCAGTTGAATTGGGGAGCATATCCCCTGCCACCTGGACTTGAGCCCCTGTACTCTTTTGGGGTAAAAAGAAATTTAAAAATCAGAAAAAAAATTTTTTTTCTTTCAAATACAGTATTTATTTTAGATTTTATAGCTCAGTGGATACTTATCCTGTCCATCTTCCCCTTTCTTTGTCCCTTCCCATTCCTCCCTTTTCATAGATAGTACTGTTTAAAGGGAGTTAAAAATAAAATATCCTTTAAGATAAGAATAAGCCTGAGGGCTGGGGATGTGGCTCAAGCGGTATCGCGCTTGGCTGGCATGCGTGTGGCTCGGGTTCAATCCTCAGCACCACAAACAAAGATGTTGTGTCCGCCAAAAAACTAAATATTAAAAAAAAATTCCCCCCCCCTTAAAAAAAAAAAAAAAAAAAAGAAAGAAAGAATAAGCCTGAACAACAGCCTAAATTTAACCTGCTCAAAAAAGATCCTCTAAAGTTTCCTCTCAGCTTTTGTGAGCCCCAAAAAAACCAATTATCACCCACCCACCTTTCATTCTATGGACCAGTTACCATTTCTAGGGCTTACCATACATTAACACATTAACACACACGGCCCAGTATCTTTGTTCTGGTAGCATTTACAAAAGGCTCTCCAACTCAATTCTTTCTTTAGGAACCATTTCAAGTTTCATTCCAACACCAAATTCAGTAATCCCTAGATACAACTAAAAGCTTCCATAACCTAATTTAACTTCATTATTAAACAGTGATCCAGATTACAACTGTATCTGAACATACATTCCCCGTTTTCCCTTGCTACATGGAAATCTGGCCAAGAAAAACATTGCTACTCTAACATATCAAAACTGGGGATGTCAAGTGGCCCTGGGTTCAATTCCAGGTATCAATAAAACAAAACAAAACAAAACCACTAATCCCAGGGGCATGGTGACACATGCCTCTAATCCTAGCTATTTAGGAGGCTAAAGCAAGAGGACTGCAACTTCAAGGCCAGACTCAGCAATTTAGTAAAGAGGTCTTTAAAATAAAATAAAGTTCCTGGGTACGGTGATGTGGGAGGCTGAGGCAAAAGAATTTTGAGTTCAAAGCCAGCCCAAGGGGCTGGGGATGTGGCTCAAGTGGTAGCACGCTCACCTAGCATGCATGAGGCACTGGGTTAGATTCTCAGCACCACATAAAAACAAAATAAAGATACTGTGTCCACCTGAAACTAAAAAATAAATATTTAAAAAAAAAAAAAAAGCCAGACTAAGCAACTTAAAGAAACCCTATCTCCAAATAAAATATAAAAAGAGTTGGAGAATGTGGCTGGGTAGTTAAGTGTACCTAGGTTCAATCCCAGGTACCAAACAAAAAGTTACTGGAAATGTAGCTCAGTGGAAGAGTGTCCCTGGGCTTAATCCCCAGTACTAAAAAAATAAAATTAAATTAAATTAAAATTAAAATTAAAAGCTAGCCAGGAAAACTCGACAGGAACCCATCTTAAAATAAAAACAAGCCAGGCATGATGGTGCACACTTGTAATGCCAATATCTCAGGAGGATAAGAAGATTCCAAGTGGGAAGCCAGTCTCAGGAATTCAACAAGCCCTAAGCAACATAGCAAGACCTGTCTTAAAATAAAAAATCAAATAAATTCGGGCTGGGGATATAACTGTGTTAAGCACCCCACTTCCAGAAGCAAAAACGTAAATAGGGCTGGGGTTGTGGCTCAGGGTAGAGTGCGTGCCTAGCACATGCAGGGCCCTGGATTTGATCCTCAGCACCACATACAATAAATAAAAGTATTATGTCCAACTATAACTAAAAAATATATATATATTAAAAAAAAAACAGAAATAAAGAGCTGGGGTTTTGGCTCAGTGGCAAAGCACTTGCCAAGCATGTGTGAGGCTTCAGGTTCAATCCTCAGCACCACATATAAATAAATAAAAAAATAAAGGTATACCAATGACTAAAAAATTTATTTTAAAAAAGATATATATATATAAATGAAATAAAAACAATATACGGGGGCTTGGGTTGTGGCTCAGAGGTAGAGCATTTGCCTAGCCATGTGTGAGGCACTGGGTTCCATCCTTGGGACCACATAAAAATAAAGGTATTGTGTCCACCTACACCTAAAAAATAAATGCTTAAAAAATTAATTATACCCACACACACACACAGCCTAGGATAAGAGTATCACAGTCCTAATGGGAAAAACAGAAACAAAAAGGGACAGGGATACAACTCAATGAGAAAGCAAGCACTTGTGTAGTATAAATAAAACCCTGGATTCAATTCCTAGAACCACTAAATAATGATATAAAATCTGAGTTTTGTAAAAAAGGAAAAAAAAATTACATAGTACTTTTACTCTCAGTTTAATCATTGTAGTCCTTTAATACCATTATTTTAGTCAGTCTTCATTAAGTGCTAACATTTCCTAATTATACCACGAGCTAACAGAACCACATTTAGAATAGTTAACATTAAGTATAGTATAACCAACCTCTCGTATTTCCTTAATCTTGCAACCACCTTTTCCAATGAGAGAGCCACACTGACTAGCAGGGACCACCAGCCTCAGAGTGACCGGGGGTCTACTGGCAGCTGTGCTATTGGTCATAGAGCTGCTGATGTCCTACAAAAAGAAAAAAGCTGGTCAGAATATTAAAAAGATACACATTTAAGAAGATCCTTAGGAACCTGTAACTTCCATAAAAGAACCATTTACTCTTGTGTGTATGTGGGGGTAGGGATGTGTGAGACCTATGGGCATGTGTCTTTTGTTGTTCTTGTTGTTGGGGGTGTACTAGGGAGTGAACTCAGGAGCACTTGACCACTGAGCCACATCCCCAGCTCTATTTTTGTATTTTATTTAGAGACTGGGTCTCACTGAAAAACATCCCCAGTCCTATTTTTTTCATTTTGAGAAAGTTGACCAGGCTAGCCTCAAACTTGCAATCCACCTGCCTCAACCTCCTGAATCCTTAAGGATTACAACCATTTGGCACCACACCTAGCAAAAACCATTTATTCTTATAACATGTCATGCCATAACCATCCCAAAAAAGGTTCAAATTCCATGCCTTGCACCAAAGTAAATGAAGATTACAACTTCTACAAACTTGCTCAGAAGTAGCCATAATTCTTTCACCCTCAGAGAAAGTATTCTATAAGTAGGAAGAAAAGCAATTGTTTTATAAATTGGAGTTAACAAGCAACAGGAAAAGAATCTTGAGGTTAAAATTAAATAATAAAGAGATGAGCCAGGTGCAGTGGTGAATGCCTGTAACCCCAGGAGTTCTGGAGGCTGAGATAGGAGGATTGTGAGTTCTACGTCAGCCTCAGTCAGCCTTAGCAAAAGCGAGGTGCGAAGCAACCAGTGAGACCCTGTCTCCAAATAAAATACCAAGTAGGGCTGGAGAACTAGCTCAGTGGTTGAGTGCCCCTAAGTTCAATCCCCAGCATACCCCCCTCCCCCAAAAAAGTACCATTACATAGATGATGAAACAGAGGCTCAAGAGTATTTTCTCTGATCACATCTAAAAAGCTCTGTAGGGCTGGGGTTGTGGCTCAATGAAAGAGTGCTTGCCTCGCACATATGAGGCACTGGGTTCAATCCTCAGCACCACATAAAAATAAATAAAGACGTTCTGTCAATCTACAACTAAAAAAAATGATATTTAAAAAATAAATAAATAAAAAATAAAAAGCTCTGAAATATAAAGGATACTACCGGAGCTTCAGAGTACAGGTCAGTGAGACAACATAGGTTTAGAATGCATAAGACCCTCAGTTCAATCCCTTAGAACCAAAAACAAAACCTGTACTGGCTCAAAGCCTACAATCTTTCCTATAACATCCCACATCCAAAAGTCATGGTTTTAACCTAGTTAAGTTTAGCCTTTGAAGATTAAGTGGTTTAAATGTCATTTCTCAGACCACCTCTATTAGTACTGAGACCTTGGAAATGCTTAAGCTTAAACCCCTGAAATCAAGGACGTTTCTTATGTGGTTAAAGAATGGACAGTATGCCAAGCATTGTGGCACATGCCTATACTCCCAGAGACTCTGAAGACAGAGGCAGGGGAATCCTAAATTTGAGGCCAGCCTTGGCAACTTAGTGAGGCCCTAAGAAACTCTGCAACACTGCCTCAAAATAACAAGGGATGGGGATGTGACTCAGTGGTTAAGCACCCTGGTTTCAAACCCCCTACCCCCCAAAAAATAGATGTTTCCTGATTTTTTTTTAAATACAAGTAACCCCAGAAGAATTAACAGGGCCATGATACTCAAAAAAAAAAAAAATGTTTTGGTGGGGTGGGGCACCAGGGATTAAACTCAGGAGCACTTGACTACTGAGCCACATCCCAACCCTATTTTGAACTTTCAATCCTCCAGTCTCAGCCTCCTAAACTGCTGGGATGACAGGCATGTGTCACCATGCACCAACATTTTTTTTTTTTTTGAGAGAGAATTTTTAATACTTATTTTTTAGTTTTCGGCGGACACAACATCTTTGCTTGTATGTGGTGCTGAGGATCCAACCCGGGACGCACGCATGCCAGGCGAGCGTGGTATCACTTAAGCCACATCCCCAGCCCCTGCACCAACATTTTTAATGCTGAGGATATAACTCAGTGGTACAGCAATTGTCTAGCATGCAAAAGACTCTGGGTTTGATCCCTAGCACACACACACACATACACACACACACAAAAGATAACATTTCTAATGTGGGCAAGGATAGGTTTTCAGGCACCATTAAGTACCAACCACCAACCAAGCAGCACTTTTCTGTGGTATCAATTGCACAATTAGCAGCATTACTGCAGCAGGCAGAGGGAGGGCAAGCGGGGAGCTGAACACATGACCTAGGACAATGGTTGCTTGGCCTCTGAAGATTGAGAGTTAAAACAACAACTCCCTTATAACAAAACCTCCGATATGGTTATTTTGCTTCTGATTACCTAGGGCTCGCCCTCCAAGTACAACTTTAACATTTTTACCAGTATCTGTATACTTTTTAAATCTAAACAACACGCAGACTGGAAAACATCTGTAATCAATGAAATATATTAGTTTCAATAGAGCTCCTAACAAAAAGTACATTAATTTAGTTCAATCAACTGGAAGAGGACAACAATATATTCTTAAGGCTTAGCAATAAATGTAAAACAGAGCTGGGGATATAGTTCAGTGGTACAGTACTTAATTAGCATACTTGAGGCTCTGGGTTTGGGCCCCAACACTTTTTTTTTTTTTGCTGGGTATAGTGATACAAACATGCAGTCCCATCTATTAGACAATCTGACAGGTAGACAACTTCAACCCAGAATTTCAAAAGCAGCCTGGGCAACATAGCAAGATCTTGTCTCGAACAAACAAAAAAACCAGGAGGTGGGGGAGAAAAAACAACGAACCTCTTCCAGTTTGTCAATGATCATAGCAAAGGCTTTGAAGATGGCATTAGTGGGTCCAGCCAAAGTGATAATTCTCTCAGGACAATTCCCTTCTGAGATATTGATACGTGCACCACTCTGAAAAAGGAGGAGAAACAAAAGTAGTTAAGAGACAAAAAAGATCAGAACATATATAGGATGTGTATAGCCTCTCTTTAACATAGGCAAGAAGCTACCTACCTACACTGGGGGGTGGGGGAGAAATCAAACACTGACCCATGTTTGTCAAACAAAGCTTATACCAGCTGTCCTGAATAAACTCCAAGATCTCTCTGAAAAGCATACACTCCTGCATATATCTGTCATTACAAATAACTGAAACAGAACTGGGGATGAAGCTTAGTGATACAGAACTTGTCTTAAGAATGGTGAGGCCCTGAGTTCAAGTCTCACACCAATAAAATAATCAAGCTAAAAAAAATAGAGACTTTCCCTATAGAGCTCTCCCCCATCTAATCTCTCAAACAGAACTTTCAGATGTTTTAAGATTTTCACTTTCCAAAGCTAACAAAACTCAAAAGCCCCTAACTTACCTCCTCGCGCATCTTCTTAACCGATTCTCCTTTCTGTAAGAGGAAAAGTCAATGATGAGCTCCAACTGCTTTTTCAACTCAGACTGACTAAATAGTAATTAGCGTTGAAGTGAAATTGTCTTCTTACCTTTCCGATGATACTGCCAACTTCCTGCAATGGAAGAAACTAGTGTAAATAAGAGGAAATTCAGAAGTGTTCATCATTATGAAAAATAAACTCTAACTATCCAGCTGTCCAACTGCTATTATGATAAGTACTACTCCAAAGAAATGGAGAGCTGGGTATGATGGTACATGCATATAATATTATCTACTCAGGGGGCTGAGACAGGAGGATCATAAGTTTGATGCCAGCCTCAGCAACTTATGGAGAATTTGTCAAAAATAAAAAGGGCTAGGGGGTGGGGGCTGGGTTTGTGGCTCAGCAATAGAGTGCACACCTTGCACATGTGATACCCTGGTTTTGATCCTCAACACCACATAAAAAATAAAAAAGATATTGTGTCCCTGTATAACTAAAAAAAATTTTTAAAAAAAAAAGGGCTTTTTTGAGGAGGGGGCTCAGGTTGTGGCTCAACGGTAGAGTGCTCACCTAGCATGTGCAAGGCCCTGGGTTCGATCCTCAGCACCACATAAAAGTAAATACAATAAAGGTACTGTGTCCAACTATAACTAAAAATAGAAAAAAGGGCTGGGAATATAGCTGAGTGGCAAAGTTCCCCTGGATTCAATCCCCAAAAACCCCAACCCCCACCAAAAAAGGAGAGATTTAAAGATTTACTGAGGGTTGAGGAGATAAAGGTTTATTCTTTAATCAGAATTTAAGAGTAAAGCTATCAATGAATTTCAAATGAATAACCACATAGTGGTGGCTAAATAATACATTTGTATTTATATAAATTATCTTTTATAAAACTAAATGTTTACCACCCACTTAAATTTCCCTAAAATTATTTGTGAAATCTACCTATTACAACCTATAGCAACATCCATTAGAAAAATCTTACTCTCCAGGTATGAGACAGTCTTTGGCTCTAACCTCTAGTTAAGCATTTCCTGCTCAGTGGAGCTTCCTAGTCAAATCTGTCCACTTTCCCACTATATTCACATCTATTCCATTAGAGAAGAGTACTAAAGCCAGACGCCCCACAGTGTTAATCTGATGAGCTCCAAGATGCATGTCTGCTCTTCCTGGCCCCTCCCCTAGCAGTTACTATGACCCAATTTCCCAAGCTGGTGCATACCTTTCCATGCATAAGTAGCCGAATGGTGAGAGTGACATTTAATCCACCTTCAATCACACCGGTGTCCATGTCGAGCAGTGTTATGGGGAGCTGGACTTTGAGTGGTCAAGTCTTTGGTCACTGGTGGGGGTGAAAGCCAAAAACTGAAATGCAAACATGATTAAAATCAGAGGAAGAAAACAATAGAATATTTCCCAAAGTTATTTCTGCCGTTATCAATGTTTTCTAAATGATTCTTTTCCTATCCAATTTGTACACACACCCAGCACAACTGCTTAACATTTAAAACTCTGGTTGTTACAGAGTATAGAAGGCAACTTTCCAATTTGCTCTCATAAATGATAGGTTTTCCGCTGACTCTCAGGATGAGGAAGATTCCTTCTACTGGCAGTGGTTCTAAAGGAATTGCTGAACTTGCACCAAATTGTCCTTCAACAAAGTAAGCTTCAAAAAGGTTCAAACACCTGAGCAAACCCCATACTAACCAACTTACATTAAGGGCAAATGACCTTTTGATTCCCTGTGGAGTAACAATTGGAACTACAAGCTAGAGAACACAAGTAAATTTTCTTCATAGTAGCAATTTCTAGATAAAGAAATTGAGAATATCCCTCATTAAAAATTTCAAATGTTGATAGATGACATCAAATGATTTTTAAATTATGTCAACAACCTAAATGAAAGAGGCATCTATCCCAGATGCCGCCATGCAACATGCAAACAGGAGTTCCACATTCCCCTTTGGAATGACTCCATACATTTAGTCCAATCAAGTCCTTTTCTCTTCCCCCTAACCTGTTTTGTTTGCACAAAACTTTTATTGCCACTCAGTTTTTATTCACACCTATTAAATCTTAGATTTCTTCCCAAAAAAGACAATATAAAACTAATACACCTAAAAACTTATTCTGTAATTGTTTTCAAGACGTCCCCTTCTTCACTCATCCCCTCAAACAATGTGCTTAGTGATATGTAGAAAAAAATTTGCTTGTGGATATGTGTTTGCCTTCAATACTTCCTTAGGACCAATTTTAAAAGTGCCTCTCACAAGTTCTGTTAAATTTCTTTAATGACATAATTCAGTATCCATCCCTTCAAAACTCCTCCTATAGCTAGTTTTCTCCCTTCACTAAACCAGACACCCTTTTAATTTTGTTGTTAACAAAGGTCAGACTCTAAATACTTTCAGAAGTGTTTTAGTGATTGCCACACCATTCTGTACATGGCAAATTTGTCTCCTGTCTACTTCAGAATGTAAGTGATTATATAAGTGCGTTCCCAATGTACATTATTTTCCTATTTTCAGAATATAGCCAATTGCTGCCCAAATCCCACAAGTCAACACTTTTCACTCATGGGGAAAAATGGCTTGGTAGAAATAGTTGAGTCTATCAGAATGATTTCCTTTTTTAAATTAATTATGGTAAAAAATCTTAATTTCCTAGCTAAGATGTAATAGGAAGTACTTTACAAATACCACAATAATCACAAGGGCACGAAATGAAACATTTGAAGTTATTCCTTCAGGTGAGGCACAAATATGCATTTTTTAACTCCAAACCATCAAAGCAATCCAAGAAATCTGTCATACTTCTCTCATGTCAGTATAAGTGTACCCCATCCCAGGAATCCAGCTGTTAATCGTGCAGTCAATTACCCCTCTATAAATAGCTCGGTCTGGGTTTATATCGGCAGGCATTTTGTAATTTTAAAATTCGTTACCCTGAGAGAACGTCCTGAATAACTCGGTAACTGGGAGCCCGCCTACCCTTTCTTTAACTCCGCAGCCCCCCTCCCCTCGGTCATCCAAGCATTTTTCCACTTAGCCCCCCCTTCCCTCAATTAGAAAAGAGAGGAAAAATAAACGGTTCGGTCGGGGGGGGGCGCTGCGATCCAGGGGGAGGGGCCGGACTAGTAGCGCCTCCTCG